AATTCGCAGTCTTTATGTGGGTCAGAAGTGCTCAGTGGCAGGCTGTATCTTATAAGAGAACAAGAGTAAGTGGTTCTGTGCACCTGGGATAAAACAAGAAATACAGAATGACAACTTCAACCCCAGATAGTCAGATAGTTTAAAAACACATCGAGTAACATTTAGTATATCCTGGGAGAAGACATTTTTAGTGCAGTTTGGATGAAATATTGAAACAGTGACTTGAAAGCATCTTCCTTTGTACCTCTATTTGCCTGCTGTCTTACTTTATGCATCTCTGCTGACACTGAGCCAAAGTAAAATTATTAGATCAGAGTGTGCTGGCTTGCTATGCCTTCTTTACAGTAACGTCATGTTTGCTAGGTTCTAGCAGCTCTGGTTTGCTTAAGACAGCCTGCGGTGAAAGGGGCAGACAGAATTTCATGCACCAGTGCCCTGCTTTGGCTTTGGGTGGATGGCCCAAGTTACATCTATTTTTCTTGTCCCGGGGTGTCAGGGCAACTGTAGAAGCATGACTGGAGTTTTTTGTGATTCAACATCAACAAAACCACTGGACTGGCTATTAGCTGTGTAATTACCACTGATAATAGAGGATGCGGATCAGGTGACCATCTCCCGGTACGAATCAGAGGAGAGCAGATGAAGTGTGGGGTGGCCCTGGCTCAGATCCTGCCACTTGCTCACAGCAAGACCACAGACAACATAATCAGCTCTCGGCATGTCAGTTTTCTCAGCTGTAGCACATGGTGAGAGTAGTGGACCTTCTCTCAATGGGTTGTTTTGGAGATTAAATAAAATAATTGACACAAAGCCTTGAGCAGACTAGGAGCACATTGTCAATCTCAATGGAGACTCTTGAAAGAACCTGGTCCTACAGGTCTGACTACAGAGGAGAGAAATGGATATGCTATTCCCTCCTTTTGTCTTTGATCTATATGAAAGGAAGACACAAAGTGGTTCCATTACAATCCCTCTATATCCTTTAAAGACCTTTTTTGTGTCATTATTTTTGTAGCAATTATTCCAGAACTGAATAACATTTAGTTACTAAACACAAATCAAAGAGGTAGACATTGTTAGTATAGGGGGGAAAATCTCAGTCTCTCCGAAAGGTGGAAGGAAGTAGTAATCAGTGATGAAGAAAACACAGACATAAGGCAAAAGTAGGTTGGTCATGCCCTTGGTGTTATATGTGGTCTTGAGCATACTTTAATAAAAGCAGCCCTTTTGTGGGAAAGGAGAGAGAGGAGGGCAGAATTCTGGTATGCAAGAGTGGTAGTCAACATTTTAGAACTGGCAGAGATTTTAATCAGGTTTGGCTACCTACATTTTATAGATGAGAATGAGCCTCAGAGATTACATGATATTACTCAAGATAACACAGGGAGGTAGTATCAAACTTAGAAGCCAGACTCCCTCCAAACAAGCCCAGTGATCCTTGGGAGACAGAGAAGTGTAACAGAGTCACATAGACCTGGATTGAATCTTGGCTCTGCCATGTGCTAGGTAAGTGGCCTCACTGAACCTCAGTGTTCCCATGTACGAATGGGATGACAATAAGATCTACCTTATAGAGCTATAATGTTCAAAAGAGACAGATAATGTGGCAAAGAATTTAGCCCAGCATCTGGCATAATCAGTGCCCAACAGATGATGATTTTTATTATTTCTGGCTTAGTCATGAGTTTCTTTATGACTACGAACAAGCCATTTCCCAGATCCACTTTCCGCTTGTGTAAAATGACTTGGGTGCTTCATCTGGCTATATGGATGACATCCATATAATGTCAAAAGGTGCTTGGAAGAAAAAGAATGTACTGATTAAATTACTGCTGATATCATGGCACTCTTCTGGTGATGCAGATTTCACACAGATCACATGGGGTATCTGTGCAGGACATGGGTCACAGAAACAACCACAGGTAAGAGAGATTATCAGGAATAATTCTGGTGTGGAAACAGTCCTAGATGCAAGGATAACACACACTACATTTTGAAATTTTTTTTTTTCAAATCATTTTCACTGTACTGTGAGCTTACAATGAAACAAATATGCAAAGTAGCCCAATGGCTAGTCTACTAGGGCTTGTTCTAGGAGGTAGTGTGAAGATAAAGAAAGAAAGCAAACTGCACTTAACACAGCTGGTAGCTGAACAAAATAGAATTCATTGCCGCAAAGGGGACTCTGCCTAGGTTGAAGAAAGGTTTAGATAAATCCATGGGTAATGGGTCTTTAAGGAGTTATCAAGGGAAAGCTAAGAGCATTCAGTGCACATGCTTAAATTTTAGGGTTGGTATTGTTAAGAACAACAATCTGGCTCTTCTAATGGAATTACACAGTTAGTAACTTGGTCTGGGTGGAACCTTATTTTGACTCAACATGGAATTTCTTATGTCCTAATGTAGGGCAAAAAAGATTTGTAGGGCAGTGATATGTGGCAATACTTGCTTGGCTTATTAAGTGGATTGCCTGTGGTTTTGAAAAGCTTCCTCCTCTTAATAGTCATATTGGAATCCACTGGGTGGCAAGAACACAGCACACTACCTTAAGGGTCACTCTTGCATAAGACATTAATGCATCAGTCCCTAATTTGGAAACCTGTGGTCACTCAGCAAGGCAGAATTTGTCTCTCTCCCTTGGTGTAATGATTTTTATTTTGTAATCTCTCTTGGGGTAATTCCTTGCAGGCTTGGCATGTTGAGAATCAAATACTGCCTCAAACAATATGGTTGTGATTCTCTGCTTGGCTGATTTAGCTCAGCATTTAAGTAACCACTAATCTTCTGAAAGCACCAGGGTCTACTTAGAGAAATCCCTGTTGTCTGCAAGGATGGAAACAAAATCAGCATGAAGGAAGCATTAGTTACTAAACACAAATCAATCTTTTTTTTTTTTTTTTCCACCTAGCTGGATGCGATGTTACTGTCAGAGGCATGGTCTCTGGGCAGTGAGTCTTCATTTTGTAGGTACAAGAGCCGTTCATCATCAGCAAGGAAGATGAGTTGGGGAATAAGAAGGAGTAAAAAGAGTTTATTGAAGTTCCTAAGTGGAAATCAAATTACATCATAATGGATGAATATCACAAACGCAGAGTAAAAGAAGCCAGATACAAGAGAACATTCGATACAATGTCCTTTACTAAAGTTCAAAATCAGGCAAAGCTGATCTTCGTTGAGTGGAGGAATTACTGGGCAGCAGTGCAAGGTGGCTCTCTGGTTGCTGGATGTCTAAGTGAGTTCAGCCTGTGAAAATCCATTGAATTTTGATTCGTTGACTTAATGACTTGTATGACTTGGTGATTTTTGACCTTTGATGAATATGTGTTATACTTCAATAAAGATGTTATTTAAAAAATACATCCTAATATATTCTCTTTGACTGGAAAGAGAATTAGTTTAACATTTTCAAATTATTATACCTTTGAGTTTTATCAGCATTAATTTGGGTGATTCTTGCCTTGATTACCTTGGTATTCTGAGTTAAGATTTAGTGAAGTCTGACTGTTCTAAAATTATTCATTTCACAAAACTGGTGCAGAGTTGTCCACTCCAATGAGCAGGAAACTGCCCAATGTCAATCTCAGACATAAGAAGAATACTCGAATGTACAGACCAGAGTCAGCTCACAGGCCAACTTTGTATAACTTCATGGATATGGAAACACAATGACTTATTATTTGACTCTCTTTCTTGCAGAACATCAGCTTACAGAGGACAGGAAGTGCATGCCTTAGGAGCAAGTGGACACTGAATCTAAAGTCAGGAGCCCTGGATCTCTTTCCAACTTTGCAACGTGGACATAAAACATCACATTTCTCTTCTCCATACCTCAGTTCCTTGTGTGTAAAATGAAGGGAAAGCATATGAATGAGATACTGTCTTGGGAAGAGTTTTGAGCTCCTGATGAAAAGGTGAGTGACATAATTATCATTATTTCAGAACAAATGCTGAAGATTATCACTAATAAAGAGGATGACAAGAAGTGGGATTGTCATTTGTACAAAGACAGAGGAGGCTTGTGATATGCAGAAAAGAGGCATGAAGGGAAGAAAAGGAAGCACACACCCGCACAGTACAGAATTCTTTTTGTCAATAGATTCTATTAAGTTGAAAATATGTTCCAGGGGGAAGGATGGGGAAGAATGATTCTGATAGGAATGGATCAAACTGATAAATGACCACACTCCTAGTTGGCCATGAGCACTTACACATGCTCCCTCTGACATCTGAGTTTTTCCCTGATTTAGCATTTCCAGTTGTTAGGTCACCCTAATGTACTGTCACAGAAACAGCAAGCCTTAGTTGTGACATCTCTTCAATTCTAACAATTATATGTCTTCTGTATAATCAAAACGTTGTTTTTGAAATGTTTAGGTATGTTCTGAATACAGTCAATGAATTTTTACTGTCTTCCTCAGAAGCCTGGAATATTTGTCTTTTAAATTGTTTCCAGGGATGTGACCTTGAACTTGACTTCAGCTCTCAACAGTGATTTGGTTTAGGGAAAGAATGAATGAATCTTCCTACAGAAGACGTTCTCCAAGGTCTATGTTGCCTGCAATTGTTCACAGCACCGTCTGTCAGTGGCTCACTGAAAGCCAGATTTCAGGAAGACTTTTAGAAGCAAAGGAGAGGCAGGAAGATGAGACACGGTAAGCATGATTGCTGACATTCCACTTTCCTGCAGAGGGGGCAATACTCGGGCTGTCAAGGAGAATCTCAGAGAGCAGAAAACCTCAAAACAGAACAAAGATCGCTTCGGCCGACTGAGTACAGAATTTCGTTACTTTAGGAATTTCCCAAGGAATCTACAAAATGCACATAGCCTCTGGCTTAGGAAGTCCCATGCCCGAGGCATAACGAAGTTCATCAGCAAATTGGCTGAAACACAGGATGCAACTTTACTAATCCCTTGGGCTATGTCGAACACATAAAGAACATAGCTGAGCAATAACAATTCAGAATTCAGGAAAATCTCTTTCCTCTGGTAAGCTTACCTTTTAGCTTTTGCTGAGATGTGCACCAAGCTTTTCTTTCCTGATCAAGCTTGCTGCATAGGGGATCTGTAAGATAAAAACAGGCAAAGCTGTCCAGATGAGCTAAATTAAAAAAAATTTTTTTTAATGTTTATCTATTCTTGAGAGAGAGAAAGAGCGTGAGTAGAGGAGGGGCAGAGAGAGATGGAAACACAGAATTTGAAGCAGGTTGCGGCTCCCCGAGCCACGAGATCATGACCTGAGCTGATGTCAGATGCTGAACCGACTGAGCCACCCAGGCGTCCCCAGGGAAGCTAAACTTGAAGACAGGTGCATAATGGAGAGCTTTGATTGTGCCTAACAGTTTGAAGGCCAGTAATTTCCTCTCTAAGGAGAAAAAGGTCTCAATCCACTCAGCAACAGCATGGAGCTTCGGATATATAGCAATTCCGAAGGCCTGTTAAAAAGCATATCAAGGACAGAACCGGTGATCACATCAGATTCTTGCTAGAGCTAGTCTTTGAGGTCAGTATATGACATTTCACTTTAAGAAGTTTTTATTTTTTAATTTGCATTTAATAATATGGTACTATTTTTTTATTTAGGTATGAAAACTAAGTTATGATGTTATAATGTATGTCCAAAGTAAAGAGACAAGGATGTGATTACAAACTAGTTCAATGCTATCTTTCATTTAATTAGAGTGACAAATTATGCTATCATTATTATAAATCACAAAAATAAGATGAACTAACTAAACACAAATTATTACTCTGGGTAATTTCCCAATAACTACTAGGAAGCATCAGAAATAATTGCACTGAGTGGAAAATATGACCCTTGAGGATACTACCTGGATAAACTTAAAAAGTACTTTTCAGTGCTGGGACTTCGAATGAAAGCCTATCCCATTTGATACATTACTTTTCACTAGAATATCTGAATGGCTGAAATTGGACTGTGTGTATTATTTAGATTTACCTTTCCATTAACCCCAGTTAAGGCAGTCTATCATTATGTTACTTACCTTCATCATTATAAGACTCAGGACTCAAAAGATTTCCATCTATTGTACATTTAAAGAAAGAAATATTCAGCTTTCTAGAATACAACATGAAATATGGCTGTGATGTGAAAGCAGTGAGGGAGATAAAATTATTTTCATCCGATTAGGCAAGGTTTTTGAATAATGGTACACATACTCTCCACATTTCTAGCTTATCTGTGCTTTGTTCTCCTGATATCCCATCCACAAATACAAGCCTTTTCTAGTGGGAAGGGACCATGAATCTGCAGTGATGTGAGTGACTAAGATTATTGGGACCATTATGCCATAATAACTGTCAGTTGAATCAGCCTTTTTAATGGCAAAGAAGAGAAAAGATTAACATAACCATCTCACTATTTTGATACACAAACACCATGTGGATGCATCTGACAGGCACATATCTGATCAAGAGCACAGACAGCATGAATGAGTTAATGATTCATTCATGTAGTGCCCTTACGGCACTCATATTTGAGGACATGAGCTGCGACGAGGTGGATGACTATGACAAGAGCAGTCACATAGGGACCTACCCTAGTTACCTCTTCTTCTCACTCTACATCATACTACATCTGCTCTCAATAGAGATACACATTTCCCATCACGGTGTTTGCTACGACATGCCAAACACAAGGATTGCCTCTCTCTTTCTGTGCACAATATAACACAGCCTTAAATGGAATTCTATTAGTTAGGATAACAAGCAGAAATGACTGTAGGAGGAATTACTTAATGCAATGTGTTTGTGGCACGCTCACATTTAGAAAGAGTTCTCAACTCAGGATTCTGATACCACAATGATTTAGAAAGGGTTCCATCCTGTTCCGTCCCAGGCACGTTAACATCACCGAGGGCTGGGCGCCTCATCGAAGCTGATAAGCTACTCATCCTAGCCCTAAGAAAACTGCGGGAAGGACATTGCTTTCAGATCTAAGTCAGAAAGCCTTTTTCCTTCCTTCCTTTTCTCCCTAGAAACAATGTAGCATTTCATTAAGGTGAAAAGCTGAGAAAAAAATAAAAAAGACTTAGGGAAAAAAGGACGTTTCCAGGTAAGCACATTTGATTCCCAAATCTACAGACCGGAATTTAAATCCATTTGAAGAATTCTCCCCACTGTTACATTTACATTGTTGCATTTACGGCATTAAAACAAAGTGAAATAGAAGCCAAACAAAAACAAAGATGGAAAGTGCAGACGGTTGTGAGCTGAAAATCATGTATTTTCAATGCTGGGTCCTAAGTCATGAATGATAAGGAATATACGAACATGTGACTCAATGGTTCATGGAAATTACCCTATTTCATCGATTCTAAAATGTACTTTTTTCCCCCTCACATTTTAATGTCTCTAACATTAGGTGTCTTATAATTGAGGGTACCTTGGAATAATAGTTGGAAGTTTCTCTTGTGATACATCAAGTAATGGTGCCTCTTACAATTGACAGTGCTTCGGATTCCAGGAAATTTGATACTGGATTTCACAGAGACCTCAGTGAACACTCTCCAGTTTAGGAGCTCAGGCCCTGGAGGCTCCGTTTAAGCTAATTATTCGATGTACATTTCCTGCACTAGAACTCACAAAAGCTTTCCTTCCATTTTGACCAGCTTACTATTTTTTAAAATTGTTTATTTATTTTTGTGTGAAAGAGAGAGTACAAGTAGGGGTGGGGCCGAGAGAGAGGGAGACACAATCTGAAGCAGGCTCCAGGCTCTGTGCTGACAGCTCGGAACTCGTGAACTGTGAACTCATGACTGAAGTTGGATGCTTAACTGACTGAGCCACGCAGGGGCCCCATTCATTTTGACGAGCTTAAAAATCACCAAGATTGGCATGAACCGCCCCCCCATAAAAAATCCCTCAAATCTATATGAGTTCTAAATTGATTACCTAGTTGGTGCTAGTCTATCAAAAGTCTGGGATCTTACCAAAAAAGATAACTTCCTAGTTTGTGCCAAGAAAGAATTAGCCTGAACTCAGACATTCTGGTGGGTTAACAATGTCAAAAGGAGGAAGAGGAGAAGGCCACAGAACTAAGGACAAGTGATTGCCTTGTCAGGATGCATGGCAATCGATCAATAATGGGGAAAGGACCCACTGTCGTCAAAGGCTGCCTGCTGCTGGAGAAGGTTGAGGCAGCATTCACACCTCTGACATCCAGGACCTCCTTTTCTTGCATATTTAGCCACAAAACCAAAATCCTCCAGTGGCTTGGGGATCTTTTCCTAAGAATATAGTGCCAAACAGTAACTGTCCTACCTACTTTTAAGAAAAAGACATCGGACGTATTTTTAAAAACTCTCTGTGTTGAGGTGTTAGAAGTCTGGACAAGTTCCTATCCTAATGAATCTTGCAGGACCTCCAAGGAAAGACAGTATCACTGAAGAGCTGTGCCCTGGCCAAGGAGGGAGGGCCCCTCTAGCAATAAACACCTCGCTCCTTTCCCTGCAAGGAAGCTCTGTGCTCCCACCATCGGGAAGTTGTAAACTGCTTTTTTACAAGTCCACAGTGAACGCAACATTAGTACTAAATCTATCGATTGAGCGTTATTTTAATTGAGGCTTTTAATGAAGAACTTTGAGACCGGTTTCCCTTGGCTGCATGTGAGTGCAGCATTCTGAGTAAAACAGCAGAGGGCACTTCGAGACTAGCACATGCACTCCATCTAAGCGCCTCTTGGTAGCAATCCAGCAAGTGCAAGGATGTGAATCTGGATCTAGCAATTTACCATGGGTTCTCTTTTGCAGCTTCACAACATCCTTTGAGAATTCTGACTAATGAAGAGCGTGTCTTCAACAAATCTACAGTAGTAGCTTCTATACAGATGCACTGGCTTGCAAGGAAATTGTTGCCATATTATCAATGAAAAAAAAAGTTGTCAAGGCATCATAATGTGTAAATTAGATTCCATTCCAGTCCTTGAAAAACCTCAATCCAAAGGTGATACACTGAGTAAAATATCTCTAGCCTCTTTTTTCATTTATAAAAATTGAGATGTAATTGATATACAACATTGTCTTAGCTTTTTCACCTTCCTCTTAACCATACAGGATGATGGGTTTTATTTTCAAAATTGAACCAAATTTTCCTAGAATCACAATCCACTTGTGAATGACATATTCCCCCCCTCTGAGTTATACTACATACTAAGATTCTCATGAGCTTGTTATATTTTGGAACTTTTGTATTTGGTTCATAGCGAGAAGAATAAATTTCTTTGCTTGTATAACTGACTCTGGCTTGGTAAGGAAAACATTTTAAACATTAGAAAACCCAGAGCAGGGGTGGAAGACTTTACTACAAACTGTGTGAAGTACTATAAACTCTAATTTTAAGCTATTTTTTAAAAAAGAAATTAGCTTGTTGCCCAGGTATAAATGTTAAATAAGCTGCATATGCTTTAAATCTCACGTTGAGATAAACACACATTCATTTATAAGTGTACAAAGAGATCAGTTATTTGACTCCACAGTCATTACAACTTTGCATTTAACAAACTGAAAAAGGAAGCAGTGGTGCAGAAATTATAGTCAGCAGAGAATCTAAAAATGCAGGAGCCAAAGAAATTCATAAGTTTTCTTTCTACAGCAATGACACCCAAGATGCTTTCGATATCGTCTTTTGAATAAGAACACTGTGTAACAGCATAGGATAAATGCATTGTGGGTCTCTGGGAATTGTTACAAAATATGATGGTTTTAATATATTTGAATTCTCCATGATTGCAGGATAGGATGGGTTTTTATGTCATCTAAAGGGGAAAAAAAGCCTATTCTTTAGGCAAATGACTCTTCTGTAATATATGCTCTGTAAACTTTAAATATAAAACAATAAAATAATTTTGAGTGAACTGCTCTATTCTCAGGAAGCAAAGCATGTAACCGTATTTACTGATGAATTAGCTCATTCAACTAAAACTATTGAGAAAGTCAATAATTATGATACCTAGCAACTTCTTGAAAATCTTTAGATAGAATTCTCTAAGGACATTACCCCCTCCCCCAAACGTACTTTAGCAAATAAAACAAGATGAATAAGGGATTTGATAAATTCCTGTTCAGGTAAACTTGAGTCTGCTGCCTCAGTTCCAATGGTATGATGGTATAATGTGAACCCAGGTCTGTCTGGCACAAAAATATATGTAGGCATCAGGACCTGAATAGTCCCAGTATTAGAGGTACTGCTTTGAGAAGGGGCATGCTATGAATTTTATTACTCATACTGGCATAGCATCTGATGACTTGCACGGGCATTTCGTATTTATTAGGCACCCATGCCTTCCTTACTATATTCCCATCAGGGCACAGGTTAGAGCTTACGAGTTCCCCTGGCTGAGGAGCTGACACTTAATGGGCTATATGCGAGTCGTCTTCACCTGAAGTTTGCAGATGTCAGCTATGTCTGTTAGTCACAAGGACAGTGCAATAATCCGGAAACACCTCATAATTCACCAGTATGGCTTTCTTTAGTCGTTTTAGTAGTAGTTTCTTAGCACAAAAGAAAATTTGAGGAAATCAGGAACAAGCCAGGGAAATTTGCAAAAGAATTAAGAGGACCACTCGATGGGAGTATCAGAGCTGTGTCTGGGGTCCTCCCTGGGTGGTGATTCATTCAGCAAATGTTTATGACAGCCACCTGATGATAGGTGCTGGAGGCAGCATGAAGACCCTCCCCATATTAAGGAAGGGGACACAAGAGAAGAAGTGGGAGGGACAAATCATCTCTGTTTCCCCTGTTTCATGTTGCAGTCTGGATGTGGTTTTGTGGATTTAAGAAATTATATGGTACCTACAGGCCTGGGAGGGGAAAATGTCTAGCTTCCCCCAAAGAATTTAATTTGTGACCAGGAATAATTTACTATCTAGAGAAATCTGAATTAATAACACTTGTCTACATAAATGAATACATGATGATAAAGTATCTTGCAATACAGTGTAATAAAAACATTTAGTAATACCAGTTTAGATCTTCCATGTACCAAATATCTCAAAAGACATGAGACACATCTTCTTCTATCAATATTGCTTGCTTATTACATGTATGCAATTATCATTTCCTCTTTGGCTAAAGAAACCAAATGTCACAGAAAATTAAGAGATAAAGCTACATAACTGACCTTAAATAGGGGCACTGAAATAAATACTTACTCCCTTTCCCAAAGCCCATTTTGCTATACACAACCACGCTGAAATCACAAATTTTTTTATTGTATGTGTGGTTTCTTTGTTTTAGTCTGAAAGTGATGTGTAATCAGTAAGGTCTGAAAATTTTATATCCTTTGGCCTTCAAATCTATATTTAAATCCTTCCTTTAGATAGGGGTGCCTGGCTGATTTGGTCAGTTGAGTGTGCGATTCTTGATCCTGGGGTTGTGAGTTCGAGCCCCATGTTGGGAATAGAGATCACTTAAAAATAAAATCCTGAAAAAATTCTTCCTTAGGACAAAGAAAATAATAAGAATAGTCACAGCAAGCAATTAATAGCCCCTATTATCAAAAGCTAAGAACAGTAGATACATTTTTTTAACCTCTTTGGGGGCTTAGTTATCAATCAATTAAGAAAAATCCTTCTGCACTCCCCCCTCCCATGACTTTAGGTACCAACAAACCAAACACAAACAAAAACAAAACCAGAAGTAGGGTCCTGGTTAAGAGGCATATTACACTGAGGTGGCTTTCAGAACAGAGTATTAACCAGCTTGAGGTCAGTGAAAACCAGCGGGAATGGTAAGAGTATAAACAGCACTTTTAACAGAGCCCCCAGAATGGGGAAAAACCTCAGGCACCACAAGGCTGCTTTAAAAATGACTCCAAGGCGCACTTGGGTGGCTCAGCGGGTTGAGTGTCCGACTTCGGCTCAGCTCATGATCTCACAGTTCCTGAATTCAGGCCTTCGTCAGGCTCTGTGCTGACAGTCAGTTTAGGCTTCTGTCTCCCTCTCTCTCTGCCCCTCCCCTGCTTGTGCTTTGTCTCTCACTGTCTCTGTCTCTCTCAAAAATAAACATTTAAAAGACTTTAACCATAAATAAAAAATAAATAAAAATGACTCCGAGCAATCTCCATTCACACAAGCATGGTTTCTCTGATGCAAAAGGAAAACATTGATACCTATCTTCCTCGAGTCATCCTGGCAGACAGCTAGCTACCCAGCTCACTAGACAAAACAGGCGGGTATCCATACATACATGCTTAATAAGATACAGGCAACATGGACCAGCTCAGAAATGTCCAGCAACCCCAATTATTATAGTCATGCTGGGGATACAACTAAGGGTCAGTGTACATCTTCCTTCAGGTAATAAATATCTTACAAATATGGAGCAGAAATTCTATTCCCCGTTGTACTCATGAAAATGACAGAGCCTGGGAGATGGCTTTAAAAGCCCTAATGATTAACACCACATGTATCTGCATGGGGATAAAGGGTGGTGAATTCAGAATGAAAAAAACCAAAAAGCCAACAAAAAACCCCACTACGTTCATTTACCAGGCACCTTCCTGCTTCCCTGTTTCCACACGAATACATCTTAGTGTCCATTTTTCGGTGTGATCAGGAGAAGGTGAATAACACATTTCATTGGGAAATAATCATTTCACTTCAAGTGATTCACTTCAATTAAGTGTATTTATAGTAAGTTCTATTGGCAGCAGAGGGCGTGGCTCAGGTCTGGGCACCGAAAGGAGAGGAAGAGAGCAGACAATCACCTTCCGCTGAGCTTCTAGCACATCCCAGCGCCCCGTGTTCACAGGTTTGCACAGTGAGAAGAGATGCAGGTACCCCTGGCTCACCCACAGAGACAATTTACACATCTGTCTATTAACACATGGTAGGTAGTTACATTTCGAGGAAACGAACTGACACATCTGTTTATCCTGTGTCTAAGTAAATCTTTTGGTAATTAGCATCTAAACCAGCTGAGAGGTAAGTGGTAAGTGGACCAAAGGGCTTCACGGCAAAAACGTGAACAGTTTCACTCACACCGGGTGGTTTGCAAACAAACCTATCAAGTTACGTGCATTTTTAAGTAGAAATCATCTTACGATTTGTAATTGCTGCACCATTTCTTCTCGGTAGGCTAGTTCCCTTTTCATCTGATCCTGAAAATTATCTGGTAGGAGAGAGAAATAGACAAAGACATCAATTAAAGTTGCAAAATCTTATTTTAGTAATTTTAGTAAAAATGTTCATGATGGTGCAGGAGAAGCCCCTCTCCCTTTTTAGTATTTTTAGAAAGCATTGTGTGTGTGTGTGTGTGTGTGTGTGTTTAAAGTAAATCATATGGATTTTTGAAGGGATGGTTTTAAGGCTCTATAATGAGAACAGACAATTTTGAGAGGGTACGGTCTCTATCTCATAGTTCCCAGTATCCCTTGGCCCAGATGATCCCTCGCATATAATAACTAGTCGGGAATGTCTGGTGCAGTCATGCTCTCTCCACCTTTGCGCACACAAGCAAGTTACAGGTGATTGAGAGCTTCCACTGTCTTCAGAAGGCAGTGTGAGTGTGGGCGTGAACCTCAGATCTATGCGGATCATAGGAAATGTGGACCCTAGTGCATGTCATGCCTCCTGGGTGATAATACAAAGGTCCGTTAGCCACACCTGCCTCACCTCAACCCCAAGTGATAAACATACTCTGACTCTCCCAATCTGCCAGCTCTCTCACCCTGCATCAGCCTTATTTTGTCGTCCTCCATGGGCCTGGAGCAGTTTTACGGACCATGCCTCCATCCGAGAAAGGGGTGGGGGAGGAGCTTTCAGAGATACTGTTATGAGGTCTTCATATCATATTGATCATTTTTTGGAGGAAAGGACTTTCCAACGTGTATCATTTGCAACCTCTCCATGTGATCTTTTTAAAACCCTAGGTCCTGCTAACTTGAGCATTTTCTGCCTTAAATGAGAACCTCACATGTTTTCCTATTGAATCTGCGGTGGATAGTCAGGGTAGCAGTTTGGAGAAACCAGAAACTGTCACATCTTTTCCTCTACTCTTCCTTTCCCCTCTGCAGCCACTGGGGTGTGTGAGTCCTTTACGGTCTGACTCCATCCTCGCCTCCCTTTGCCACTGTCACCTCCCCAACGCTGACACCTCTTCCCTGAATAGCTTCCCAACTGACTGCTTGGCCTCTGGTCCCTCCTCTGCAAATCCCTTTGCTTCTGCTGAAAAATGGCTTCCCAACGCTTACAAGATGATGAATCCTGTACCCCTTGTGAGATTCTGGGGAGTTGGAAATTAAAAAAGCATTGTCCTTTTAATTTTTTTGACTTCTCCCTTCCTATATTATTTGAATTCCTTCCCCATCCTATGCAAGTTTTTAAAATTAGTTACTTATTTAATTGATTAATTAATACTGGGTTGTTTTTTTTTAGAGCAGTTTTAGGTTCACCACAAAATTAAAGGGAAGGTACAGAGATTTCCCATGTACCCACTGCCCCCACACCTACATATCCCCCCTCATTATCAACAAGCCTCCCCAGAGTGGGACATTTGTTACAGTGGATGGACTTACACTGACAGATTGTCATCATCCAAAATCCATAGTCTGTCTTAGGGTTCACTTTGGTATTGTTCGTTTTATGGATTTGGACAAATATATAATGACATATATTCACCATTATAATTTCAGGATATCCACCAGTATAATATCAAAGATATAGAGTATTTTCACTGTCCTAAAACTCTCTATGTTCTGCCTGTTCAACTCTCTTCTCCACCCCTGATCAGGCAACCCCTGATTTTTTATTGTCTCTTTATTTGTCTTGCCTTTTATATTTTTTAAAAAGACTCATTCCCTACTCCCATCTTTGAGTTTAATGTGAAAGGTACCGTAATAGGAGTAAGTATGTGGCACAGTGCAGGGGGCAAGGGAGAAGCCCTTATCCTCTTGGGGAGTGAAGGGAGAGGAAATGCTTGAACAGAGATGTAGAGAACAGTGTTTTATAGAAAGTCAAGGGAGGAGGAGTGAGGAATAGCAAGTGGCTTAGTTAGTTGTAGCAAAGAGGGTAGAGGAAGTCCCTGCACCCCATTACCCACCAAACCTGGCTGGGGTACCTCCTTGGGATCCCAGAAGATGGTAAGGACAATTCAGAGTAGAATGGTGATACTTAGTCCTTAATTAATTCATGCTCATTGCTCTAGGAGGGTCCACTTAATACAATTCTTTAAGATAAAATGAAAAAAGGGGCACCTGGGTGGCTCAGTTGGTTAAGTGTCCAACTTTGGCTCAGGTCATGATCTCACAGTTTGTGGATTCAAGCCTTGCACCGGGCTCTGTGCTGACAGCTCAGAGCCTGGAGCCTGCTTCAGATTCTGTGTCTCCCTCTCTCTCTCTGCCCCCCTGTCACTTGTGCTCTATCTGTCTGCCTCTCTCTCAAAAATAAACATTTACAAAAAGATAAAATGAAAAAAAAAATAAAGCTACTAAAGCGTTAGGAAAAGTGGTGAATATTTTTGTAAAATATGGGTGGGGAAGGGTATCAGAGATAGAAAAACTGAAAAAGGAAAAAATTGATAGATTTGATTAGACAAACATTTAAAACTTCAGTAGGACAAAAAAATACAAAAAAAATGGAACCCTCAAAACTTAGAAGATCATAGTCAACATTGACAGCTAATTGATACAAATAAAAGAATATGTGTGATGTGACAAAGAATATTTTAGTATAGAAAGAGTTCATAGAGATCAATAAGAAGAATACTGAGAAGAGAATATAATGGACATTCACCAAACCTACAAATGGAAAGTAGACATGAAGTATGTTCACCATCCCTAGCAATGAAAGGAAATAGTATGAGCTACTATTTTTGCATTTCAGTTAGCAGAGATTAAATGAAAAGGTAGTATGTGGTGTTCCAAGATTGGGAATATAAATTAGTACAGCCTTCTGGAAAGCAAAAAGACATTATGTATCAAGAGCTGTAAAAAGTTCATACTCTTTAACATAGGAATCCTTTCAAGAGTTTATCCTAAGGGAATCGCTATAGATGTGTATAAGGATTTAGTTACAGCGAAGCCCATCATCTAAAGCTTTGAGAACTTTAATGTACAACATAACAGTGCATTTATAAGCTCAAAATGTATTAAAGACCTAAATGTGAGACCCAAAACCATAAGGAAAAGAACACAGGCAGTAATTTCTTCAACATCAGTCATAAAAACATTTTTCTAGATATGTCTCCTCAGGAAAGGGAAACAAAAGCAAAAATAAACTATTGGGATGACATCAAAATAAAAAGCTTTTGTGTGAAGGGAATCATCCACAAAACAAAAAGGCAACATACTGAATGGGAGAAAATATTTGCATATGATATATCCATAAGGGGTTAATATCCAAAATATATAATGAACTTCTACAAGTCCACAACAGCAAAACTAATCTGATTAAAAAATGGGCAGAGAACCTAAATAGACCTTTTCCCAAAGAAGACAAACAGATGGCCAACAGACATATGAAAAGATGCTCAGTATTACTCATCATGAGGGAAATGTACATCAAAACCACCATGAGATGTGGTTACACATCACTCCTGTCAGAATGATTAACATCAAAAACACAAGGGACAGCAAGTGTTGGTGAGGACGTGGAGAAAAAGGAACCCGTGTGCGCTGCTGATGGAAATGTAAATTGGTGCAGCCACTGTGGAAAATAGTACGGAGGTTCCTCAAAAAAATAAAAATAGTAATATCATAGGATCCAATTATTCCACTACTGAGAATTTACCCAAAGAAAACAAAAACACAAATTCAAAAAGACATGTACCTCTATGTTTACTGCAGTGCTATTTATAATAGCCAATATATGAAAGCAAACTAAAGGCCCATCAATGTGGATATATACACACAGTGGAATATTACACAGCCACAAAGAATGATGAGGTGGGGTTTTTTTATTTTAACTTTTTTGTCATTTGGGACAACACAGATGGACCTAGAGGGTGTTATGCTGAGTGAAATAAGTCAGATTGAGAAAGACAAATGCCATATGAATTCACTTACATGTAGAATCTAAAAAGCAAATGAATAAACAAGCAAAAACAGAATCAGACCCAAAGTACAGAGAACGAACTGAAGGTTGCGAAGGGAAGGGATGAAATGGGCAAAATGGGTGGAGGAGAGTGGGAGGCACGGGCTTCCAGTTATGGAATGAGTAAGTCATGGGGACAATGGTACAGCATGGGAAATATAATCAATGATATTGCAGTAGCATTGTGTGGGGACCGGTGGTAGCTACACTGGAAGTGAATGCAGCACAAGATACAGGGATGGTGACTCACTAGTGCACACCTGAAACTAATGTAACATTGTGCGCCAACTATACTTAAATAAACAGGGTAAAAGATGGAGTTGTAACATTTCATTTTGTTACCAAAAAAGATTCAATATGCATTAAAAAGCTGAAATTCCTAAATGCTAATGTTGGTTATCTCCAGGTGACAAGATTACAGATGCTTTTTCTTTCCTTCCCTTTGAACTTCCAGGCATTTTAAGTTTTCTACAACAAACATGTGTATAACTTTTGAGATCTAAAAATTGTTAATTGGCAAATGGAAAGAAAAGAAACTGAAATTTCTTCTGTGTTCTAAAGGTTGATGAAGGCACGATTTAAGGAGATAGAGAAAAAAAATCATTAAGTCAATTTCTCTAATGAGACTCACTTAAAACCCAACTATTTCTGGAAAATGATAGTATAAAAGAAGGTAGCAGAGGAAAGCACTGATGCGAAGTGTGCCAGCCAACACAGCAGCAAGGGCTGTGCTCTGCAGATGTGGACAGTCTGAAAAGTCAGTGTTTTGCAGAAGGCCTATCTTCCCCAGACCAGAAATAAGAAAACCCATATGGTATATCTGGTCGACCCAGGAGATCCCACACATGAAGCAATAGGCTTTGGGGCTTACTTTGCTTACATCATGTTCATTTTGTTATCACTACTTTATTTTTTAAAAAAATTTAATGTTTATTTTTGAGAAAAAGAGAGATAGAACATGAGTAGGGGAGGGGCAGAGAGAGAGGGAGACACAAAATCCGAAGCAGTCTCCAAGCTGTCAGCACAGAGCCCAACACAGGGCTCAAATCCACGAACCGTGAGATCGTAACCTGACCCAAAGTCCTAGGCTTAACTGACTGAGCCACCCAGGCGCCCCATTGTTATCACCACTTTTAACAGCTATCAGGTCTTTTCATCTGTATTGTGTTCTAGAATTCCTCCATCTCTCTCTCTCTGGAGGATGCTACAAAAAGAGAGAGGAAACCACTCAACATCGAATGACTGCAGTAACAGCCATGGGTGAAAGAAGAGATGGCCAAATTCATATAGATGAAATGTAGTTAAAAATTTTTTTTAATGTTTATTTATTTTTCAGAGAGAGAGAGAGAGAGAGAGACAGAGCACAAGCAGTGGAGGGGCAAAGAAAGAGGGATACACAGACTCAGAAGCCGGCTCCAGGTTCTGAGCTGTCAACACAGAGATTGACGCGGGACACAAACCCAATGAATCGTGAGTCATGACCTGAGCCGAAGTTGGACGCTTAACCTACTGAGCCATGCAGGTGCCCCTCTAGTTTTTTTTTTTTTTTAATATTTTTATTTATTTCTAGGAGAGAGAGAGAGAGAGAGAGAGAGCGTGAGCAGGGGAGGGTCAGAGAGAGAGGGAGATACAACTCTGAAACAGGCTCCAGGCTCTGAGCTGGCAGTCAGCACAGAGCCCGACGCAGGGCTCGAACCCACGAACCGCGAGATCATGACCCAAGCGAAAGTTGGACGCTTAACCGACTAAGCCACCCAGGCGCCCCCCCTCTAGTTTGTTTTTAATAAAAGTAACCTTAAAATAACGTGGAAGAGTAGTTCTTCATATGAATCTAAAATGATGATGTAGTCAATATCTACTACAGAAATATTTCAGGAAGCCCCAGTCACTGGGCCTTCCCTGTCATAACTGACTGGCCTTTCCATCAGTTCTCTTAAGTGCCATGAATTTGTCACATGCAAATCCAACGACTCAACTTATGAGCCCTCACTAATCTCTTTTATACAAGAGTTTTCGGTTTCCCAGTCTCATCCTTCATTGTCACTTTTAATCTCTTTCAATGTAACAGCAAAATGTGTATCAGTCATTTGCTGAGAGTGCGTCATGTGCCCGCAACATGCCAGGTGCTGTGTGGCCAGTAGCAGAACACCTTTCTGAACCTATTGCCAATGCCATGGGGTAGAGGGTGGTAGCAGGTGTGAAGCAATCAGAAAGAAATCAACACAAACACCCGTAGGGCTAGAAATAAACACAGTAGGATGTCAGCAAAGAATGTCTACTGCAAGACTAGGAAGGCTTCCTGGAGGTGGTGGCTTGAACTAAGTGTCCTAAGATGAGGGGAGGCATTCCAGACTAGGGAAACATAGTCTGCAGAGGTCAAAAGCAAGAGGGCAGAAGGATCTGCTGGGTACCTGGAGCTCAGCAAGGAGGGGGTGTAGGTGAGACTGGAGAGGCTGGGTGGGCCAATTATGGAGGGTTTTGAGAGTCAGTCAGAAGTTAAATTAGATACAACGTGATGAACAGTAGGCAATCACTATAGCTTCTTGGGTGGAAGATTTGGAGCCAGAGGTAGAATTTTGGCAAGACTGGGGCTAATGGCAGTGGGCAGAAAGGGCTGGAGTGAGGAAGGAGCTGCTCGAGGGCACCCTGGTGCGGGGGTGGGGGTGGTGGCAGGGAAGAGGGGCGAGGTGTGAGGGCCTCCTCCACCAGTCGCCTCATCCGGCAACTCTAGCAGGTCCTCAGCTCAGGGCTGGGCTCCTCCTTCTCCTCCTCCTCCTTCTGATCTTCATCTTTACCCTCTCCAAGCCCAGGATCCATTCCTGTGGTCCTTATTAGCCTTCAGAACCACAACAAGAAGGCTAAGAGAAACTCAGAAATTTGGACCCATTTTAGAAATGCTTTTCTAGAGCTCAATGCTCATAATCTCCTCTTCCTCCTCCTGCATCCTTACCACCACCATCCTCACAGCTGCCAGTACCGAGCACGTATGTTGAGCTGGGATGTGCACAGCCCTGCACACTGGTCCTCTCATTTACTCTTTGCAACCTCCTACAAGACAGGAATTATCTAGCCCATTTGACAGTTTCCAAGGTCCTACAACCAGGAAGTGTCAGAGCCCCACAGGGAACTCAGACCGGGGGTCCTACTCCTCACGCCTGGGAGTTAGCCTGGGTCTGCAGTGTTCTCGGTAAACCAGGCTTTACATGTCCACTTGCTAGTAAAAGGGGCTGCAATATTCTGGCTGGGATTCCTCTAGGCTTCCTCCTGATGTGGCTTCACAAAGTTCCGTTTTTCCCTTTCCATCTGAGCAAATCTAAATCTGTCTGCCAGCCTCACGGCCTCTCACATTTAGTTAACAAGCACATAATGTGCATTTGCTATTTTCATCCGTGTGAAATTAACTGCCTCTTTGTGGTAGGTCTAAACCACGCATTATTCAAACTTGGGCACATACATGCCACTTCCTTGGTCAGTGAAGTACACTGCAGATAAAAAAACAGGAAAAAAATTTTGTTGTTTAGTGGAAGTGTTTTATCCACGTGGCAATCACAGAGGATTAATTTTAATTCAAAAGAATAAATGAAAGGTCTGAATCAAGATGGGCCAGTTATAATATTCTAACTTCTTTTTTTTAATGTTCATTTATTTTTGAGAGAAAGAGTGGGGGGAGGGGGAGGCAGAGAGGGGACAGAGGATCCAAAGCAGGCACTGTGCTGACAACAGCAAGCCCGATGCTGGGATCACACTCTCAAACCATGAGGCCATAAACTGAGCTGAAGTCGAACACTTAACCAGGCACACTTTCTAACTTCCTTTTAACAGAAACATGTGCAATATTGTACAGTAGGGAAGTTAAGAAGGAAAATGTATCAATTATTATACATTACTAAATTCCTTAAAATGACTAATTTTTATTAAGGAGATAAATTAGGGACACACTGACTTTATGGGGAATTAGGTGGGTACTTTAAGGGTTTAATGAGACTCTGACCCACCCTGCAGGATCTAAACAGGAAGGATTTACAAACTCAACCATGAGATAAACATCAGCTTATGGGGGAAACAAATCATTCAATGTGTGCTCATTGCTGCAAGGAACTGGATATTAAAATACTGTCTTAGAAATTAGAGAATCTCAGGGGCGCCTAGGTGGCTTAGTCGGTTAAGCGTCCGACTTTCGCTCAGGTCATGATCTCGCGGTTCATGGGTTCGAGCCCCACGTCGGGCTCTGTGCTGACTGCCAGCTCAGAGCCTGGAGCCTGTTTCAGTCTGTGACTCCCTCTCTCTCTGACCCTCCCCTGCTCACGCTGTCTCTCTCTCTCTCTCTCTCCTAGAAATAAATAAAAAATATTAAAAAAAAAAAAGAGAGAGAGAATCTCAGGTTCTTTGGAAGCATTTGGGTTTTTAAGATTTCAGAGATATATTTTCAATGGTTCTTTTTCTCAAAGCTACAACATCACGACGATCCCAACACACTATCAAAAGCTATGGGCCAGTTTGCTAGTATACAGAGAGGGAGACTAACCATAAGAGACTCTTGAATACAAAGAACAAGGTTGCTTTGTTGAGTGTTGCTGGAGGGGAGGTGGGTTGGAGGATGGGCTAAAGGGGTGATGGGCATCAAGGAGGGCCCTTGTTGGGATGAGCACTGGGTGTTATATGTAAGTGATGAATCACTAAATTCTATTCCTGAAATCATTATTGCACTGTATCTTAATTAACCTTGGATAATAATAATAATAACAATAAAGCTATCCACCATTCTCCTCCCTTCCATCTTACTTAAGGGCTCAGCAAACATTCTTGAAATTCAAAACCTTGAAGCACCTGAACTCCAAACCTGCCCTGTGGGTACTGATAGATCACAAACTTGGCAGACCCTATCGCTCCTCTTGGTTAGAGCTCTCTTCCATCATGCATCTTCCTTGTTTTTATCCCTGCTAAGTGCTCGGTGGAACCCAGTTTGATATATGCCAGGAACCCAGTACTCTGCGAAGCTGCTATCCGAAAAGGCACATCTTTTAGTTGTGCTGATGATTACATTTGAGGAGCCCTAGGGAATATGACCTTCATGCTCATATTATTAACATTGTCACAAGGACCGAAAAATCTTCTTCCGGATGCTGGTCTGTGGCCCTGGCACAGGAATTGCCAACGAGAGTTTTTGTGATTACCACATTACTAACAAGGGGCATGCTGACATTTTAAAAAAGAGTCCTGGAGAAAAACTAATCTTAAATGTACAGAATTCAAAACATAAACTTACATACTATTTTCTTTCCCACTTTTCTTTCTCTGGAGAGAGGAATATGACTAAATGAGACTATGAAATGCTTGAAAAAACACCACTGTGATGTATTTGTCCAAATGTGACCCAGGCCAAGGTTGGTGAATTTTAGAAATCTAAACACCTAGCATTAAGTTTTTCTGAAATTCTAGGCCTCTGGGAATAGAACTGATAGTTTTTATGCTACAGTATCTGCCACCAATTGTGGAATGGAATTTTAACATTAAATGTGGATGGAGAATCCAAAACCATTAAAATTATACTAAGCTCAATCAGTAAAATAAATATGTGTACATTGAACTGTTAAATTGTAAATCTTCATATTTATACGTATTTCAAGCACCAGGAAGCACTCTGGTTCTGAGAATAAAAATTCTTTTGTTTTTCCTATCTTGGAGAATAAAAGTACCTGAGTATCTTTTGTTCTAAGATATATAACCTAAAATATCAAAATACTTGAATATATCTACATATTTAATATACACCTGCATATATATTTTAAGATATACATAACACATACATACAGATACACATCTATCAATACAAAAAAACACCAAAGGGTTCGTGTAAGAAATTTTATCTGTGAGCTGATTCAAAGCATAAATAACAAGCTACAATTTCCAAATATTTAGACAGAGACCAGGGGAAGAGACTGTGGCACTTTATATAAGCACGTCATACTCAGAAGCCTATTTTTAAGCCTAATTATAGAAACATCATCAAATATCGTAATGCAATAAAACAAAAGTGATTTCTTACTGAATACTGGGAAAGACGTATTTCCTTTTAACACTTGGAATTCTTGTTCTAGTCGTCTCCGTAAATCTATTTGTTCAAATAAAACCTTCTGAAGTTCTTCTAATAAAGAAAAACAGAAGAGTCATTTTACTAATCTTTACAAATAACTCTCCAGAGAACTGTTATATATGGCAATTTATTATTAGAAGACAAAATATTTTACCAGTTTAAAAAGTGTTGCATAGACATAGGATAGATTTTGTGCAGAAATCCATGAATATAAATCAATGTAATATATTATTTTAAAGTATTATATTACAGTGTCATGTATTGATTGATATGTATGCATTAATCTCAATTATATCCACCCAATGGTCCATATATTATTCATATGTTGCTTGTCAAGCTTAAAATATGGTGTAGAACAAAAATATCCTCCTATTATCTCCATGGTCTTTTGAAGCTAAGAGAAGTTCTACAGAATTAAAACTTTTCTTTACCTTTCCCCATATTTTCAACATCCTTTTTGAGTGAATGAGGTGAATTTGTTTCTTGTGTGTGTTCACCTTTAAAAAAAAAAAGGAGAAAAAATATTGGTTTTCTGTAGGCTATTTTCTGAAAGTTTTCTTTTACTATCTACAAAGGAGCTTAGTTGGTATGACTTGAAAGTGGACGTCCTCAGAACCAAATGTTGTCCTTATTTACTCGTGTACAATTCCCCTGAGGCACAGCAGGAGAGCTACCGGAAGCCAGGGTGCAGTCTACATAGCCTGAAATGGCAGCCCTGTGAAACCAGATTCCGGAAGTTAGCCCGTTCCCAGCCCCCACCACTATCCATCCTCTACAACAAAGATACTTGCTAAATGGGCAAAAGAGGGGGTTGAACAATGAACACATCCAGAAGAATTCAGATCAGAACTCCTCTCCTTCCATAAGTGAAGGAGCCTAATGTCAACCAGAAGGCCCCCAAGGCTGAGGAAGCAGAAACCTCCTACCTTCTTGGGTCACCAAAATTTGGGGCAGTTAGAAAGAAACTGGAGACTTTTGTTCTCCATGGGAGAGAAATGATAAGCCTGGAGTGATTTCCTAATAACTGATAGGTGTTGTTTTTTTTTTTTAAATCAACCTAAAACAGAGGTGTGAAATAAGTTATCTTATGTTACTTTGTAATAGTCACACGCTTGCTGATAGTTTCGGAACTACTTGTCTTCAACCAATAAAAACTAGATTGTGGATAAAGGTTAGATGTTATTCTTACCTATTTTGTTTATGTGCAAATGATGGCAAGCTAGGAAAATGTCCTTGCCTACAGTCATAAATTGAGACTATGTAATCTAGAAAACGTAAACCAAAGAAATCCAGCCACTTAGCTGGATTGTTTTTCCAATTCAACCTGCTATCTGCAACTATCCACATGATGTAATTAAGCTTTCCACTTTCATGTACAGACAGTATAGACAAAGGTGCTCTCAGGTTTCATGGATCCCCACTCCCCCTTGACTCCCTTCTGAGTTAGCTCCTTCCTCTATATCCATGGTGCTGTTTGCGTACACACTTTCCACACCCACCAGGCAGTGTGCGACTTGGAGGCAGAGGCTCTGGTTTTCCTGCATGGCCAGTGCTTAGAAGAATGCTAGATACATAATAGGTATTCAATAAAGTGTTTCCAGTTGTCACTGAAAGGAACTCCAGGAGCTCATAAATTCTAAACTACAGTGTGGGCCAGAATGCATCATTTCAATTCTCTCCTCACTATCTATTCATTTCCTTTCTTCAACAAGAAATGTAATATAATGGCCCTAGGCACTTGTAGGAATACTGGGAGATTTCACCGTCAAGGTAAAAATTCCTGCAAAAAGGGAAACAGAATCTCTCCACCAAGCAGTGGCCTACAGTATTAAGGACAGACAAGAAAATACTTAGTATATGACCTACAGTATTAAGGACAGACAAGAAAATACTTAGCATATGATAAATGGATGGTGATTCTGCATTCTACCCAACGATCATTAGGAGTAAGTATTTGCAGGAATAAGTGGATGCATATATATGTATAGAAACACATATATGCAAATATTCCTACACATGTGCACAGTGATGAAAAGATGCTTGCCCTGGCTCCCCATCATTAGGACAAAAATATCTTAGGCGTCCCTGAGATCCTTCACGACAGATACTTTCTCTACTATCTAGATAATATCTGCACAATCTCATTTCCACTTTCATCTTGGACATGACCTCTCTCCACAGGCTTTCAACACTAAAACCTAGGCTTTCTTCATATAGAATAATGAAAATATCTGTGAGGCATTTTAAACATGCACCTCAATCCAATTCCTATAAAATACTACTCTACTCTCTAAAAGAAGAGTAACATAAAGGTTGATGAGAAATCATAAATATAGAAACCAAGAGTAATGGTATTTTGTTTTTGTTTTTTTTTGTTTTGTTTTTGTTTTTTTTTTTAAGAGTAATGGTATTTTGAAGTGAAAGTAGATGCGTATTATACGCAGTTTTACCTCTGTTTACTCCAAGTCTCAATCAGTTAAATGCATAGCTGTTTCATACTCCAATACAGTGTGGAGTCTGAACAAGAGAAGAAACAAGCACACATGTCCCTGTGTAGCCATCTGCAGGGCAGAGTGACATTTCACCATCTTGCCACTGTCCCAACCACAGGGAGCATGGTTTAAATGAGATTGTTCGTGTCTGAATAGGCAGCTCTAGAAGTCGTGTCCTTATCACATTAAAGACCTTTTGATTCATTAGTGTATTTTGTGGCCTGTTTATCTTACATTACATTTTAGTGAGGTAATTAAATTTAAAAATTAAAATGGGATATGTAAAAATGCAGGTCTTTTCTACTTTGCAGTTCGGAGGTTTACATAGGGGTGAAGCCATTAAACAAAAGCCTAGCAAATGGAAACTACATTAACAACAAACGAATCTACCGATAATGTTAATAATAAGTTTTTCTTTTCATTAGCTTTGTAGGGTTTTATTAATATTTTACATCAGTGTCTATTTCAGATAGATGCTTTGCTGCAACTTCTCAGTAAAACCTGCCAATTTGGAGCTTGGATGATTCAAATGTCTCACTTACAAAGTTTTTTTTTTTTTTTTTTAATGGTTAAATGTTAGGTAAATAAGGAGCACAGGCATTTCAGTTGCCTTTTGTGTATCTTTTACTGGACCGTTGCCTTTTGTATATTACTAATCTGTGAAACCAGATTGTTAATGGTGGTTAAAAATGACCTCTGGGAGCCTGGATATGTTTGTTCACTATTACTGCTAATGTTTTCCATCTGGTTTAAAAAAAAAAAAGGCAGTCTAATACTAGATTAAATAAATGAGATTTAGTTGACAATAAGCTTCCAATTTTTATAAATATTCCATTAGGTTAAATGCATTTTACTTTTTCAAAATTAATGAATGGGTTTGGAGACATCCAAAAATTAAAATGCATACTTTCCTTCCCACTATATTTCCCCTTTAAAAAAAAGTTATGAAAAGGCAGGGGGAGATCTTAATTGTATAGAGTTACGAAGGGAAAATTATAATATGGGAGGAACATCTTTCTTGGAGGCCAGGCCTAAAACATATCTTAAATCAGACTGTAAAAGAAAACAGTTGGGTGGCTTAAAGTTGGAGAGTAATGGATAATAAGGGTATAAAATGCATCCAGTGAACTGATGTGACCAGAAGCTGCTCCTGTTCAGAGATGTGCCTACATCAGGATTCCACAAGTGCATGTTCAAGGGCTGGATTGCTGTGACCTGCCTCACTGCCTATGAATCCCGCCTGCCCTGGAGGATTCATAGAGCCACATCAGGAAGCCTAAATCCCCTGAGTGCAGTGGGGGCCAGAAAGCCGGGGGCCATTTGGTTCCTGCTCCCGTGGTCTCTTCAGGGTCCTCTGGGACCAGGTGGACCCACATTCCAGGTGAAAGTTCCACCCCACACTTGGTTCTGCCCTCACAGAGCCATGAGAAGCTGGAAGCACAGGAGGGAAGGATGTGGGAATACACCATGCTAAAAGCAGACACGAGCAGGAAACAGCACATGAGGAGGAAAGTGGAATGTCCAATGGGAAAAAACTCCGAAAAACAGGTAATAGATTCATTAGCACCTCGTTTCAAGGCACAAGGGGAATTGCTTTCTCTTAAAAATCATGGCCCACCTCTGCTCGAGAACTGGGCAATGGCTCCCGATGTCTACACTGCACAATCCACTCTTAAGTTCTTCCCCCAGCACCTCCAGGTTCTCCCACTTTGGCTGAGCCACACTGCCTTTCTCGGTCAGCAAGCACAAACCCTTCACTCTAGTTGGGCCTCTGCCCCTCACACCAGCTGGCTTTGGCTTAGGTTTTTGCTTAAGGTGCCCCTGCCCATCCATCCCCAATGAGAATGCCACCCAGTAACTGCTTCTTACTATTCCCTACTCTTCCGCAAAGCCTTTCCTGACTTCCACAAAAGCAGCTGATCCATTCCTTCCTGGGCTGAAGTTCCAACTCCCGACTGTCTTCACTCTGCCACCTGATGTCCTGGGGTTTCAACTCTGCAAGGCTGGTCTTTCCCAGCTAGAAAGTCCGCTTTCTGAAGGAAGGGAGACCCTGTCCAACAGGCAACCCCATCACCTCTACCTTCAGGAGGGGCACAAACACATCCCACCCATACCATTTGCTCTTAATTTAATTCAACCTGGTTTGTGAAAGAAATACAAAGTAATGCTGCTTTAAATCCTCAATCATCATAAGGGGTTTTTAGGCACAAACTCATTCCTATGAATGAAAAAGCACATTTCGATCCATTTGGACATTTGAAGACGTACTCTGTATTTTCAGCTTACAGAGGAAGTTTGTGATGTTTCCATTTTTGTTCCTATCTGACATTTTGAAAATTTCTTGCAGGGGCGCCTGGGTGGCTCAGTCGGCTAACCGTCTGACTTCGGCTCAGGTCATGATCTTGCGGTTTGTGGGTTCGAGCCCCGTGTCAGGTTCTGTGCTGGCAGCTCAGAGACTGGAGCCTGTTTCAGATTCTGTGTCTCCCTCTCTCTCTGTCCCTCCCCTGCTCATGCTCTGTCTCTCTCTGTCTCAAAAATAAACTATAAAAAAGAAAAAAAAATTTCTTGCAGAGCTAAAACCATAGCGCTGAGATTTAACTGGGGCATGAAAATATTAATGCCTAAGTCTTCCATGACCTCCAAGAGCAAAAATACCTTACATTTTTAGAGCTCTTTTAATTTTAAGAGCCAAACGAGGAGGTCAGATGACCTGTGGTGTTGGTGGTCATGAGACATGACAAAAAGTTGATTAAATAGGTAATTACTCTTCTCAAACTAAACTTGAATCCAATAAACATGATCATTCAGATACTGTATGTGTACAGGGTTTGCTAAGTACACAGGGTACAATGTGAAATGCCTGACTTTTGGATGAAGAGTAAAAACGTTGACATTCACCGGTCCCTTCTACGGAAATACATTCTCTGTCTTTTTGTTCTCCCCTCAGTTTTCTACCCCCTGGAGCCTGCAACCAGCACTCGGAGGCACAGCCCCACAAAGCAGCC